CTCTATCATATATTATTCGTATTCCTTTCACTGTCTGAATGGATGGATCATGTTGAATGAATCGATGAGGTAGACTCGACTAATATTTTGAAAGTTATTTCAATCAATTACCACCTTTTATTGGCTTTCTTTCATTTCAACTGATCATTATGTTTTATTTCTCGAGAAGAATGCCTTAGCAATATGTGTTCTTTCACTCAATTTTATCACCTAAGATTTATGATTTTTAGACATATGATGAATGACGTCCAAATCTTATTGTTGGCTTATTCTCAGATAATAACCATCGGCTGCAAAGCATATGTGAATGCGGAGCGGAGCGATCGAGAGGCCTTCAGAAACGAAAAAAACAAAACCCACCTGATCCTCAAGATCTTTTCGGTTGCCCTCTTCTTTTTGGAGATTCTGCTCAAGCGCTTTGATTTGCTCGTTAAGTTTCTCCATCTCCTCAGTGATCTTGCCAGCCCTGAGCATTGGCTTAACTCTTCCGTACAACTTGAACCATTCCCATGTTCGTAGCATAATCCAAGTACGTACATTGCGTTGCAGAGTCAACAGACCTATAAATTCATCAATCTTATCATTATGATGTTCTTATTGAAGATAACTCGTTTGATTTGATATGAAATAGTTCATGCTACATTTCTATAGCGCATTAATGACAGAATATTGTTTTCTTGTCATCAGATTTCGTTGAATTGAGTCGACTAGAAACCTACTGAAGTTTCAATACTCAAACTGCGAAAACATTACCGAAATTTGCTAATCATAAGTTAAAGACACTTAATTACAAGTTAAAATCATATAATTGCGGAACTCTCCATGATTTCATTACAAAGTAGATCTAAGGCACAATAATGAGAATAGAATTAATGTGTTTCATTATACACTTGATCTATTTGATCATATTTCATTGCATTAACACATCCCCATATCCGTTCTTAGTCAGAGATTGTCTGTATATCCACTGCTATGATGAAACACTTTTAGTGTAAAGCGTTCCC